ATGATTGGAGTTTGTGTTTATACACTCTTTTTACTACCTAGCCACTGTCTGTATGTAGTAATTGTAATTGAGTCAGACGTTTAGGAAGGAACCATTCTCAAAATCCTTTAGTTGAAGAGACATACTATATAACTCTTTATTATCTTACATCTTAATATTAGCAGATGGCATCATCTCTCTTATTTATGTTTTTGTCCTCTGCTGTAATAATTATGATGGATGTTTTCTAATTTAGGCTGTAGCAAATTCAACTTCTGCCACATTTTTGCGTGTCGTGGGAAGTGAATTGATTCAGAAATACTTGGGTGATGGTCCCAAATTAGTGAGGGAACTATTTAGGGTTGCGGATGAACTTTCACCATCAATTGTTTTCATTGATGAGATTGATGCGGTGGGCACAAAGAGGTACATATCATTCCTGGTTTATCTAGTGCTGTAAAATCAGTTGGTAATCATATATACTGTTTTTTTTCCTAAATTGTGTTGGTTTTTCATTTGATCAATTCTGCAGGTATGATGCTCACTCAGGCGGTGAGCGTGAGATTCAGAGGACTATGTTGGAGTTGCTGAACCAATTAGATGGATTTGATTCTAGAGGAGATGTGAAAGTCATTCTTGCAACTAATAAAATTGAAAGTCTTGACCCAGCATTGCTTCGTCCTGGGCGAATAGATAGAAAGATTGAATTTCCTCTGCCAGATATTAAAACCAGGAGACGCATTTTCACGGTACTTGTCTAAACCAAGAAAATGTTCACCTGTAATTAACATTATATCTTTATGTATTGGAAGCCTGTAACATGTGTAATCACAACTGTGTTTGCTTTTAATATAGATCCATACGTCAAAGATGACATTGGCTGAAGATGTCAATTTAGAAGAATTTGTGATGACAAAGGATGAGTTTTCTGGAGCAGACATTAAAGCAATCTGCACAGAGGCTGGATTGCTTGCTTTAAGAGAACGGCGAATGAAGGTAATGCTTTTATACTCTGTTTGGCGAATGAATACTTCTGCTTTTGGTTTGTGTTGTCTGGGACTCTGGGAAATTATTGAACCTGTCAGTTATCTCATATAAATGATTTTGTCTTTTGCAATGTTGCTGTAGTGCTCTATAATTGGCAATTGGTTGACCATTTGGGTAGGCGGTGATAAACGATTAAATTATGCTAATTGTAATGAATTGATATGTTTTTTGCAAGTCCCATGCCAATGTTCATGGCAATGCAACTATGAAGAACACAAGTATTAGATGTAGAAGCATAGCCATGAACATTGGCATTAGACTCAGAAAATTACTTATGTCGATGTACTCCTAACCATTTTTTACCGCCTATCAAACGGGACATATAAGTGCTTCTATTTTACATATCTAATTGTCACTGGCCTGGTTCATGCAGCATTTGTTGAATAGGTTCTAATATCTTAATTTGGTTTAGTATTATTATCACAGTGAACTATAACTATACAGGTGTGGTTATTTTGAAAGTCTTCTTTTTAACGGGTCATATTCTTGTACATAATTCTGTGCTGCGATTCACGTAACGCTCAATAAGGTTGCTGATTAGTACATATAATAATATGGTTCAGGTAACCCATGGCGACTTTAAGAAAGCCAAGGAAAAGGTGATGTACAAGAAGAAAGAAGGTGTTCCAGAAGGGCTTTACATGTAGAGTTGTTTCTGGAAATATTATTTCACAATTTATGGTAACGTCCAGCTGTTATCGAGTTTCATCATTATTACACCATTATTTTTTTTCTTCTCGGTACATTGCAATGTTTTTAAATAGATTATTAACTCTCATTTAGATGAAGTTTACATTCGTAAAATCAGCTGATTGTCATACCATTTGAAATGTACAAATTTTCTCAAGATGAATTTTGAGCATCTTAATGCTCATTTTTCTACGGTAGATCTCTCAGTGGTTCTTTTACTATGATTAATTTTACATCAGTGTATTGTATTTTGACTTTTTCCTATTTCCTTCTTCCTCCTCTTTCGTCTTCTACCTTCGATCTCCAGCCATAACCAACCAACCTCCATCTTCTTCCTCCAATCCCAACCCATGACCACCTCCATTGAAGCTGCTCAGGCTTTCCTCTCGAGAATTACCAATTCTACCACCATAAGCCGAATTAAACTAAAATCATAAGAAAAAATGGTGAATAAATGGCTTAGTTAACCTCAAAGGGTAATGATATCATCCTACTCCATTGACGAACATTGTCATGTTCATTTTTTCCATTAAAGTTTACTTTTTTCTACATTGACGTTCTTCGTTTTCCATTGAAGCCTTGGATTTGTTTTTCCTTGAAAATTCAGTTTTTTCTACAGATTAGGCTTGTCTAGTTTCAAAGAAACTCTTCTGAATTTTTTTCATCGGTAATTACTACCATTTCTTTAAATTGTTCTTATTTGGAATCTTTATACATGTTGCTTTTCAGTTTTCACAGTTTAACTTTGATTTATGATTTGACAATTAACATTCACATCTTACATACAAGTAAAAGAAGTAAAACTGATGTTAACGTTAATCTATTTACATACACATTGAAACAATTCAAATAAGAGAGATGTCCCAAAAATTTTATTTATTAAATAATCTTGATGATAATTCATCTTCAAAATGTTATAGAGGGAGTACACTTTATTCAAAAAGAGATATGTAGGTTTACATATATATACATACATATCCCTAACTATACAACCTCAAAATTTAGGATAGTAGAATAAACAAAAAAAGTGTTACATTTGATATTATTAATATTATTACATAGCAGATTAATAAATATGCTACATATTTACTATTCTACTATATATACTACCTCTGTTAATTTTTATGTGTAACTTTAGAGTATTATTTGTGAGATATAAAATATTTTAAAGTTGCACATAAAAATTAACGCAGGTAGTATATAATTTGTTTAATAAAGATAAAAATCCTTAATTCATAGTTCCTTGTTTTTCACCTTTAACTGGAGCAACATTTTGATCATCTACCGGATTTTTACCACAATGGGTACCCTTTTCACATCCTCGAGTATATTTGTTAGCAGGACCACCAAGTTGTTGATTTCCTTTTCCGTAAATTTTATATCCTTTTCTAATTGCACCATATGACACAAAATTATTTGCTTCACATATTATTGAACTAAATAACACCATTACTATGATTATTGCAACTATATTCTTTCTTGAGATACCCATTTTCTAGATTTTGCTACTTTTTTTTTTTTTTTTTTTTTTTTTTTTTGTAAATTATGAGATGGAATCTAAATGCTTGTGTTTTGATGGAGAATGTTTTATTTGTTATTACAAGGACGAAAAAGATTTTCAATTTATAAAGGAAGAATGTAGGCTAATTATGGCGTTGTGGAGTGAGAAATGAGTTGAAGCAATTTATTCGTTAATGCATAAAGTAAATTTATGCGATTTTATCTTTAACTAAAATAAGGTTTGTCTATAATTTGGTGAATGGTATATTTAGTTTAGGGTTTTTGGTTTTTTTTTTTTTTTTTTTTTTTTTTTTGTTCATCATAACTTAGTATAGGGAGTAGGGTAGATTAATATAATGCACTTAAATTTAAGCACAAAAGTCATAAATATTGACAATCTAGAGAATTACAACTAATATGGAGGATAAATAACTAATCTAGACATGAACAATTAGCAATCAAAACTATAATCATATGATGCATTTAAAAAAAAAAAGAAGAAAATAACTGTAACGGTGTAAATAAGTAAACACTACAAATAACAACCCTAAAATTAATTAGCACTAAACAAAGGAAAATAAGCAAAATAGTCACAATAACATGTAATTAATGCAACAAATCTGTATGTATAGCCCATAGGTAAAAGTGAGGGTGAGAAGGACTCATTGATACAATTTGTATGTATAGACCATAGGTAAAAATGAGGGTGAGAAGAACTCATTGATACAATTTAGATACGAGTATGTGACCATTTTAAATGTTTTATGAAGCCTATAACTGTAATTTTCGGCGATTAGTAGGATAGCGTCATGAAATTAAATAGAACGACATAATTTTTTTAATTAAAAATCTAATGGGCAAAAGGACATAAATTTGCATACTAGCCTTTAACTAATTTTTTGACTAGAATAAATTTAAAAAATTTAGCGATGTAAATTATTAAAAACATAATATGATTTAGTACATGAAATTTATTTAGTTTGTGATATTAATTATATGTAATTGAAGTTATCATCAAGCATAAATCGGTTTTTTTTTTTTTTTTTTTTTTTTTTTTTTTTGTTTGTTTGATGAGAGAACAATGAAGATAAAGGTAAAAAGGTTAATAAAAAAGAACCCAATAAATTGTTCGTTTTAGAGAAAAAACGTACGAAAAATAAATAAAGTTTTTATTAAAGGTGTGGGTGTAATTTTTTATTCTTCAAAACCTTCTTTGTTTAAGGTTATTTTCAAATTTATTTAGCAGATGCTAATATACTATTAGTCTATTACTTGATTACAAATTTTGGCCAGTTACATCATTAGTTAATAGTATGACCATTTTACAAAGAAAAAGTATTGTGTGAATCGAATTAAAGGTATCCACCCCAACACTCAAATAAAATTGACATTAATAATTGCATAATTTCCTGTAACAAGTGAAATTGTCAAAACAAAGCCCAATTCACACACTTTTCTCCGTCTCCTCCAAACTGTCCAAGGAATTTCACGTTCTTAACACCACTGCCTCTGGACAATCTCCGGCAACCCCCACCACTGCCACTTGGCCCACCAATTGCACCCCACTTGGCTTGCGAGAGTATCATGTTCAATGTCGTGAAAAGTAAGTGGTTGTTTGATTGACATCTAAATACACAAGAATTACAACTTCAAAATTAAAAATTGTAATCCTTGGTTTATTAAGAGATTTTAAAATAAACGAAACTGATAACTGACCTAAAAAAAAGTAAAAAAAATAACTAGCTACAGGTGTACCAGTTCCAAGCCGTACAACTAAGAATTTGTAGACAATGATGTAGTTGAATTTCATTGCGGTGAATAGTAAACAAAAGAATAGCAAATAGCAGCAGTTCCCTTAAATTAGAAACGTGAAGCAAGAGTTCATAAATCTATCACCGCGAAAATTAGGTACTAAGCTTTACATAACCCGTTTCCTTGTTATAACTATAATCAATAAGTTAAGAAGGCATAAAACCAGCAACGAAGAACAAAACAAACTGGCTATACAGTAAATAAAACCCCAGAAAAGAAGCAAACTAATAAACGAGTGAGAAAAATTAAGAGGAAAAGGAGAAAGTGAAATGTACAACTCCATATGGTAAACAATTCCTTTTGAACACGAAAATGTGTATGAGCAAGGAAGTCACAAACTTATAAGCTCAGAAGGACTCTCGTCTCATAGCTGAAGATACTACCATACCACCTAAGCCAAAGCTTCAGCAATGATGGACCGATATGAGACTTGTTTATCATAAAGGTCACGGAAAATCCTATACTTCGCATCGTGGTACTTCTTCACATTGGGATCTTTGGATGGATTAATGACCTACAACATTAAAGGGTTAGTACTAGCAGAATGAATCAATTGTCATACATGGAAAACATGCATGAGTGAATGAGTGATGGGCATATACACCTTCTTATTATTCCAAAGCAATATACATAAGTTCCTACCTGGCCTGCTGCATTCAGTGCCTTCATCGCGTCATGTAGGCTGGGATATTTCTTCGCTGCAACAGCACCCAGAATAGCGGCACCCAATAATACAGACTCATTTTCCCGAGGAAGAATTACTGGGTATCCTGTGCAAAAAATTGATTTTTTTACAGACTATTTTAATAAAGTTGATAAAGTACTAGAGAATATCAATATCATTATATCACTTCATGAGTTCATTACTATAGGAAGAATATAAACACAGTTAAACACACTCTGCTTTACAATAAACAAACATAAAGGAGTTAGCGGTTCTACTTTTCATCTCTAACTTCCTCTTTAGAAAAAAGTGAAGGGAATTAGGTAGGTTCAACAAATTCAGACAAAGAACAGACAATACTAGTTTGATCCGATTACCATTAAGCAACTAAATAAATATATCTGGAATTTCAGAAGGCTTGTAGCATATATTTACTGAAAAAATTTATTTAGTTTTCAGGGAGGGGGAGGAGGTAGAGAAAGATAATCAGGTACAAACCAGTAATATCGGCATGCTCTTGTATGTACAAAAGATTCTTTGCTAGTCCACCACAAGCAAGAAGTGTGTTTATCTGTTAAAACGAAAAATTTAGATTTAGGAGCATAGCACATCCTGGGAAGGATCATAACAATCCAAAAGATTATCAAACAGGAATAACAGCCACGGCAGTCAGCACACTAGAAGGTGTTTCCAACAGAAGTCCCTGCGGAACACATTCAGGCATTCAGCTAGCTGAGTCTGATAACTTGAGCAACAAGAAAACAAGCCCTCAACTCTTTGAGCAACAATAAAATACATTATGTCAGTTGGCATATCTTAAGCAGACTTTCCTCTTTTTCAAGCCATTTATCCTCACTAAAGTTTCCCATACACACCTCTAAAAACCACAAATTTTCTTGGTATGGTCAAGTAAACAATATCCCATAATCATCATATTACAATAATGAAAATGATGATGATGATGATGATGATGAATATTCACATAAAACACTCTTATAAGCATTGATACTCCAAAAAACTAGAGTTTACACAATATACCCAGCTATAGGTGGTTAAACAAATACGTGAAAAATATGCATATAAATAAATAATGACCATAGCCTAACAAAGGTGAACGCTAAATTACCCTATTTGAACGCTAATACATTGTATAACTTAATAAAATTAATTGAAACTTGAACAAAAGAAAACAAATTTCTGAATTGTAGAAAAAAAAAAGTTAAATAAAAGAAATTGACCCAACAACCTCCTGTACTCTACTGCCTATCACCTGATATATGCACAGAGCACACTACCCCATCCTCACTCAGTTCCCATCTGCAATTATACCAACCATTCAACTTCACTATCCCTCTCTAAATGTCCCTAGAAACCACCAGTTTCTGAAAAAACACAATTACTAGCCCACCCAAACCATCCACCGCCTATATCCTAACCAATCTAATAACTTTACCTCCGTCAAACCCCTCCTCCTCCTCCCCCCCCCCCCCCCAAAAAAAAAAAAAAACAAAATCACAAAACTGAATATATTTACATTCAGTAGGGTAAATTAACAACTAATTATGCGTATTGACATATTAAGGTCATTAAATTCACTTTTGTTCACATTGTTGATAGTTGAGATTAATTTTCCAAATTGTGTATACATTTGTTCTCGACACATGGTTGTATATATGCACATCACCTTTACATATACCCAGGGTTATAAAGTAATACAATCATATAGTCCCACAAAGTGATATCTTATGAGTATTACACTTCATGAAAGCAGTCTCATAAAGTAGTATAAAGCCCCTTTTATGTTGCAATTTGGGATGTTAAACGACGACAAAATATACATACTTACTTTATGGCCATTGGCATTGCATTGCTCAATGATGTGACGGGTGCCATACGCAATACCTTGTACAGTGGCAAGATATAAAAGAGCAAGCTGCTTTTCACTTGTGTCAAGTGTTAGACCACTGACCATCCCTTTTGCATTAGGATCTGCAATAGGAGACCTGAACCAATATGCAAATTTAAAGATTTATATTCTTAGGTACCCATAAAAATTAGAAATCAGACTTATTTGCATTCTGATTTACCTATTCCCATGAAAGTCAGGAAGGACATGCAAATCCTTTGTTAGAGCAGAAAGAAATGAAGCATCAAGCTCCTGCATCATTGATTCTAACATTTTGTTTAGAAGTGCAAACACTGTGGTCCCTGAAAGATACAAGAAACCAGTCAATCACCAAATATGAACTTGAAAAGGCTGATTGTGATTAAACCAAGACTAAATAATCAGCATGACCCAATGTTAGTGAGGTGTGTGATAGGGAATGGTTGGCGCATTCATTTTTGGGAAGATATTTAGAGAGAAGATTTGACTATTTGTTCTGGTTTCCCAAGGTTTTTCATGTGTCTATTGACTCTTCCCTCCATAATGCACCAGTGTCAATTTTTATAGCAATAAGCAGATTACAATAAAGATATACATTTATGAAGGCCACTACATGATAGGGATTTAGAGGAGCTTTCTTCCTTAATATAGATTTGGGAGATTTCTTTTAGCAGATGTGGTGGATTCTAGGGTGCGATAGGAAACTTGTCAGGATCTTATACTTGTAAATCGTTTCTTTTCTATTTGACTCAACCCCTTCATAATCCAGTTTGTCCATCAGAAAATTTGTGGAAGCCAAAGGTTCCTCTTTATGTGAGGTCTTTTGTGTGGGACTTTGGCATTGGCTAAGAAGGTAATATTAATACTTATGACAAGAACGGAAGACCGGTTTTGGTTATTTCACCTGATATTTGTATGCTTGTCGAGCTACTGGAGTTCTGGTGAGTCTTGTTTTCATTTATTTACTTTGTGACGTGGAAAGATAAATCTAAAGGAGGATGTTATCTTTGTTATGAGGAATCTTAAGTTTTACTTTTAGAGGTTGTGCATTGGCAACAAGTTAGATTTCAAGGATTTGGTATCAAGAGAGGTTGTGGCACAGTGCTTTTATAAAAATAATGTGGCGTGTTTTGTGTGTATGGCTGGAATTCAAGGGTATTTTCAGAAGTCTCTTTGTCTTCTTATATATTATGGCAAACAGTAACTTATTAGGTTCGTTAAGGGCTAAAGTGGCTGAGACTTTTAAGAGTTGTTCTATTAGGGAGGTTCAAAGAAACAGGATTAATATGCACTTTTGGTATCAGTTTAGAAGACTGTTTGTCAACTTATTTTTAACTTCTTACTACATCTGATAAATAGTTTATTAATTAGTTATATAAAATCAACATTACCCTGAGAGGCAGCACGATTTGCCAGATGTGGAGAAGCTACATGGTTCTCAATTATGTGATCCAAGAGTGCCCCAGTGGCACTTTGACCGCCCTCTGTAAGCCAGAATTGAGGTACCATTGCTGAACATGCGGAAAAGAAAATGCGGAATCACCTCTCCAATTTTCAGATAGACAATCAAGCAATAATCAACAATAGAAATAAGTCTTCCACACAGAGGTAAAAAGATTTTTGTGTATATATTATATGCTGCAATCTGCTATATTATGACACAAGATGTTTATGAAACACGATGGAAGTAAAAAAACAAAAAATTAATTCTGCAAAGCAATAATTAACATGAAGTATGAACACACTAGCTTCAGCCTGGAAATGTGACCTAGCACTAGAAAGGTTCAGCAGGTAAAAAAAAACTAAGGAAATAACATAGTGAAAACTGAAAAGCATACCAGACCAAAATGGTCCCCAGACCCCTGGAATGAACAACTTGCTCTGAGACACAGCCATGTGGCAAGTAGATGTTCCACAAACCAAGACCATACGACGGCAGATTCCATCGTTCTCATCAGCTGAACAACTAAATTTTTATCAGACAGTGTAGTCTATGAGCTAACAAGACTGTTAGAAGAGCAAGATGTACCTTCACATTTCAAGTCAGATGCTGGAAAGCTTTCCATGACCCCAACTCCGCCTGCATGGGCATCAATTAAAGATGTTCCTACTGGAGTGCCAGCTTCCAAACCTAGTTCCTGAAAAACAAATATTCCTGAAAAAATGAAGCAGCAACACTTATCTACAATGAGCACGTAGAATTTCCTCCCAAGCCCACTAAAGGAATGTAGCTACATATTATGTTGAATGGATTCCCAAGGAAACAGCACTTGAAATCATTGCGAACTCTTCAGGACAAAAATTCTTGCCTTTGCAGCAGTTGGTGTCAGACCAGAGCCCAAAGTATGCCCAGGGAAAGCAACACTCCGCCCTATTAGAAAATTAAGAGAGCAATGTAGGGTTCATAAGATACTACATATATACAAATAGGAAAAAGAAAATGAACATAAACCTTAAAAGTAGTACTTCCTCTGTTTTTTTTTCCCAGTTGCGTCACTTTCCTAAAACGGAAGTTTCAAATTAGTTGCATCACTTTCATTTTAACTAATAAATTCTCTCTATCTCTCTCCTTTCACATGGGCCCTATCTATCTTTTCTCTCTACCTCTCTCTACCTTTTAACTAATAATTTCCCTATTTCTCTCTACCTTTTAACTAATAATTGCCTAGGAGTCCATGAAAACCAAAGTGACGTAACTAAAAAAACAGAGGAAGTATTAAAAAAAAATTAAAAAAAATAAACTACATTCTTAAGGACATATATTTAGATCACATAAATGCCTATCTCAACACATACATTGTTTACCAAACAAGCCTAAAATACGTGAATGACTGAACAGGAATATAATGCACATATCCAGAGGGAAGTCTTCGATTGACTTGGTAGTGTAGACTATGACGGTATCACCTAAACTTTGTTATTGACAATACAGAGATGAGAAACTTTAGGCAGGAAGCTCACCCTGTGCACTATTAATACACGTATTATATTCAAATCAGCATAAGTAGTCTAGGTGTTAAGATTACTAAGTTGACATGTTCAATCGAAAGGGTTTTATAAATTCATAAAGCAGAGTGAAGTAGTAGCATTAAGCAGTTTGGCACAATAAAAAGAAGCATGAAGTATACCAATCTTGGCATGATGTCCATCGACCAAATCACCTAAGCCAATCTCCTCCCAAAATTCATCATCCCAACCACAAGCTTCCATATCACGGGAATCATTCTCATTCAATTGCTCCAGGTGTGCATGACCCAGATATGTCCATTTGCAAACAGTGGTGCAAAGGCTCCTCGTATCATCACCAGTTGCTCTAGAAAGATATGTTAACTAAGAATTAATTCAATGTTAAACCAAACTAATATAAGAACAAAACAGCCAAGTACCTATAGGACAGCCAGTCACTTAAGTCCATCCACCGAAAAGCCATTGACCAGGATTCCTTGAGGTTTTCCTTAACCCACAAAAGCTGCAGAAAAGCACTCTTATAAATCATGTCCCACATAATTCATAGCTTAAATGTGATGCATTTCAGGAGAAAAAAAAAAGGTTCATAAGCTGATTATTTTTGCTAAAATTTGCCTTTGAAGCTAATGCATTGGGTCAAGAAGATAATCCAAAAGCAGGGAAAATATTTAGCAGCTCTGTCCCTCAAAAGATGCTCTAAAGCACTGACATTAAAAGAATAAGGATATCCACTATTTATACAGTTTCAATACAATATAGCTTAATCCCCATAACTTCCACAAGTTGCACCTTTGCAAATCTAATTGCTAATATTGATCTCGACAGAATTGAAGATACATTGTCAATTCTATATTTCTATCTCCCCTATCTCTTGAATATCTCAAATTCAGTATTCATATGTGATGTTCGGTTGATGCTATACCCGTAACAGCTAAGGCTTGGTCTTCTCACAGTCATTGCTCAGCTAGCATCCTCAAGTTGGCTGAAGTAGCTATAGAGCTTGTTGATTGAGTATATTTTTCAGCTGTACCAGTATGCATTGATCCACTTGCTAAATAGAAGATGCTAAGGAGCAAAGATCTTCAGCAATTAGCATAACTCGCAACCATTTTGTATCCCAATAAAATTATTTGTCCCATGCTGTCAAAGGAAATACTAAATGAGCCCAAAATACTATCAGCCTCAATAGGCAATTTGTAGCCACGATTTTTCAATTTTTCAGTTGGCTTGATGCTTCGAAAACTTTGGTCCACAGCCCACTTCAAACACTTTTAGTTTCACAATATAATATGCCATCTGAATGAATGATCCACAAGGGGAACCCAGATAAATATTATAAATGCTGCAGAAAGCCAGAAAGGTGTTGGGAAAAGGACTACTAGATTGACTATCAGTCTAATCCTAATGTTTGTAGTATCTAATTGGGATTCGAACAGAGTTCCTTAAGTTGTTCAGACACCTTATATAGTCAAGAAGTTGCTGTAAGGCTGCAAAAACAATTAGCAATGCATCTAGAAGTAGCAGTATGTTAACAGCCTAATGGCCCTAATGAAACAGAAGCATTATCTAGAACCTTAAGCGATGGTTCAGCATTTGCTTGTTTTACAATCCTCATACAGCAGTGGCAGTGTGGCACACAAAACAGAATATTAACGACTCTTATAATAATGTTCCTCTAACTTATCTACATAGATGCAGATATACTTAATTCTCTCTTCTTATTTAACTTTGGAAAAATAAACCTTTTAGCACAAGCTCCTATATGGTGGGAGTGAACCATGCCTGTTTGCAACATGGATGCTAATTACAAGTTTTTCTGAAAACCAGATTCAGCGTGAGGTTTAAGCATCAAAAGAATTTCATAAACTTGCTGCCCACGAAGGGTATTGCACACCACAAAAAGAATATATTGAACAAGCAGGTACCTTTGGTGGTTCCATCTCAGGAGAAAGAGATCCCCCACAGTATTGCAATACAGGTGAGTTGGAAGCATTGATCCTTTCAGCTTGCTTTACAGCTCTATGGTCCATCCAAACAATAACATTTCTTCTAGAATCACCACTCCAAGAAACTGTAACTGGGGAACCATCAGAATCTACAGCCACTGGAGAAAATAAGCGACATTAGTCAAATTTCAGAAAGTAACTATATAAAGCAGTAAAACCTAACCTTAGTTTTCAAAGACAAACTGACAAAGTACAATTATGAAACATTTTACCCACCAAGGGAACACGTTGCTGCAAACCCAATCCCCACTACTTCTTTTCCATCAACATTTGCAAGAGTGCATGCTAATTTAACAGCTGAACAGACAGCAAGCCAGATATCGGTTGAAGATTGCTGGATAAAATCAGGAGAATTAAACCTCCGAAAAATAATTAAAAAAAAAATTAAAAAAAAAAACCTTGTATGTAATCATAAATAATATAATGTACTCTGTATCTCATACAACTTCTTTATAAGAATTGTAACACAGATTTTCACCAATTAGACACCAAGTAACGAAGAGAAAAGATGGTGTTGGCTTACTGTTATATCTAAGATAACTTTCTCACCTCAATACAATCACCCTCCTTCCAAATTTGTATGGGACAGTTTCCAAAACCTAAAAGCTTACCATTCGCATCAAACAAACCTATATCAGCACAAATGTGTTAGAAACAGCCTAGGATAAAGAGCTAGACTACACTGTGGCAACAAAGTTATAAGGAAACTTTGCTATACTTTTTACAGTAACTAATAGAAACAATGTATTTAAAGTTTGTTGATCGGAATCATGGACCCTCTGAAGCAATGTAAATTTCTACATCTCATTGATGATCTTTCCTCTTATCTCATGATTCTCATCTAGAACAACAATTACATGACAAATAGATATGAACTTATATTTAGTTATTTACAACCTAACGTCACTAAACTGATGCCATTTACTAGATTATAGGGAAAAAAAAATAAATTAATCTACTTGAATCCGGCAAGGATATCTATAAAGGCCATCAGATATCAGATTGTTGAGGTGTGTAGCATTTTTGCAGATTTCCTATTAACATAAAACGAGAAAATATTGAAATATAACTAGAGACATAAATCCCTAAAAGAATTTGATGTTGGGTGATGAAAGAGCAAAAGTCTCTCCAAACCAATTTACTTGCTATCAGAATCCACCAGTACAAGCATACACAAATATGTAGTCTAAACATTTCGATCCTTCAACTTTCAAGTCTACAAGTTACGCAAAAATTCAAAAACATGTTAAGCGGCAAAACAAAATCATATACTCCATAAAAGCTACATTCTTAAAAATGTCCTAGTAAGCAATGCCTTACTATTAGAGATTTGAATGACTAACTTAAGAGCTTTGTACTTTTTGCACCTATCAATAGTTTTTATTTTTGGTAAATTAAAAGGCTTTTAGGCGGCATTTTTAGATATTTTGAGGCTGAGGGCCTGAGGCACAAGGCGTTAGGGGTCATGCGTCTTTTGTGGTCTAGGCAAGGCAATTATGATGCCTTGGTGCGCCTTGAGCCTTTTTATACATTGGTCCATACTTCCATGGTTCCGCCTCACTCAACTAAATAGTTGATCAAAGAAGAGAGCATAAATAGCAATATTTGCAATTAACCTATCAAAACTTAAAATAGTAAATGTCTCTTCATTGACTTATCCTACATAAACTAACTCAAATCACTAATATACAGCACAATATCAATATTAATCTGTACAATTCATTGACCTTCTCATTTCATATGAATCACTAAAAACAATGTTCTTATACCAAATGTATATCCTATAGTTTATTTACATGCAATCAAAAATTAACTTAAGCATTACAAATTAGCAGCTAATGCAATAAAATCAACAGCAACAAATTAAAAAACAGAAAAAATGAAGAAAATAAAATACAAAAATTTCAAAACAAAGGCATTTTACAATTTACAATAAAAACAGTGATTACATTGAATTATTTAAAATAAATTAGTGTATGATCGCATATATAAGAAGGAAACGACGTCGTAAGGAGGAGAGAGAGAGAGGAGGAGAACCTGCGCGAGCGCTGCCGGTGCCGACGTCGACACCGAGGAAGACGGAGCGAGGCGGGGCTTCATCGGCGCCGGACATTTTATTCACGACGGAGTAACAAAGCGTTCAAGGGGTGGCGTTGGTTCAATTACGGGGTTGTTGATTATTTTTGTTTTTTTTGGCCGTACATTATTATTTATTATTTTTTTTTTTTGGAAATGTTCTTTTACTTTTATTGTATTTTTAAAAATCATTAAATGTATGTATATCTTCCTATCTTATCTATTGTGATGGGGATTGATGACGAGATTAATGACTATTAAGGTGTTTTTATTTTTATTATTATTATTTTTTAATCAAACTCGTTTTATTATAATAATTGGGACACTATGACTAACAGATACTATGTCAATGCACAAAATTAATTATTAATATTTGTAATTAAATATTTTAAGAAATATAAAATGTTAATGTAATAAATATATACTTCATAGTTCATACAGAGTATGTTTATATGAAAATATAACGATGAAAGTTATAGTCTAGACAAGCATATAAATAGTGCAAAAATCAAACTGTTACAGTTATTATGAGACGGAGGTAGTATAAGTTTAGTCTGAGTGAATAAAATGCACCTTAGAATGTTATTTATTAGGTTATTGAAAAGAAAAAGAAAACAATTTTTAGTTTTGGAAATTTGAGTGAGTGATTAGTTTAGTTTACATTACTCATGACTGATATTATGAATTTTTACAATCTTATAAAAATGTACCGTATGTTATGCTTTATAAGTTTTTTTTTTTTTTTTGAGGGGATTATGCTTTGTAAGTTCAAAATCTTAACTTGAGAATATGTAAATTTTAGCTAAATTAAAAATATTAATTGCTCCAAAATTCCTAAAAATAGTTGATAGATCGATAATTAATGAGATGGCTCAATTCGATTAGAAAATTAAAGTTTGGGTAGCTTCAAAAATGTTTCTTTAGGCAAAAAGACATGCTTTTGCTTGGAGAATTGTTGCCATTTTGTTTATGAGTTGACATGACTCTTTGCACTGTTAATCTAACACATTCTAGTGTTTGTTCAAGTTTAGTTCAAAATTTTTCAACAAATGAACATATTTAGTTCCTACACAATTTTTATATACTACCTCCGATTTTTTTTAGTTGTAACTTTCGAATATTTTATATCTCACAAATAATACTCCAAAGTTGCAACTAAAAAAAACGAAGGTTGTATATATAAAGATAAGAAAAATAAAGGGCATTAGGAGACCCTCCTCACGAGGAAAACTCTTAGTCCTATAGATGGCTTGAACTGTAATATAAAGGAACCTCTTAGTTGAATAGTAACCATGTAGCATGTAAGATCTTTAGTATGGCTAGCAATGCCAATAGTAGCAACATTAAGGGCGTGTTCGGCGCTAGCTTTTGAGTAGCTTTTAGGTAGCTTTTAGTGGTTTGACCAAGTCAAACCACTACTCAACAAAATTGTGAGTGTTTGGCAAAGTAATGGTTCAAGTAGCTTTTAGTGGTGGAGGTAGCTTTTATTAAAAGCTAGGATTATTAGCTTTTGAAGTTTGAGGTAGCTTTTGAAAATTTAATGTATAGTTTTAAAAATAAAATATTGATTCTTAAATGTAAAGCTAGTCAACCACTACTTTATCGAACAATCATACCTAAATTATCTTTTTTCACAGCTAACAGCTTGTTGACAGCTAACAGCTATCTCCACAGCTCACAACTATCTCCACAGCTATAACTACCTTCACAGCTACATTTTGCCGAACATACCCTAAGTCATTAAGGCATGCTCACATTGTTTTATTTTATTTTATTTTATTTTATTTTATTTATTTATTTATTTTTAAATTCATCTAAATTGTTCCTTTGTCTATGTCTTTTTTTATGGTGTTTAGAAAGCCGTAAAAACAAGTGATGAGAATTGATTTCATAATCTCTTAAAAACGGGAGAGAAACTCTAACCACATAAGCTATCCATCACTCTCTGTTTCTTGGTAGGTGTAACATGAGGATGAGGTGTGTGGACTGGTTTTATTGATTATAAATGATTTTTGTTGGATTTTTTTTTTTTTCGAGGGATGATTTTTGTTGGATAAAATAAAGTAACTTTTACTTGTTTATTTATTGCTTTTTATTACATTTAAAATGTTGAAACCTCATTGTGAGTCTTTCATATGGGAGAAAGATGAGAAAATTTAATGATCTCTTAATAGCTTTGAGGAGTTATAATAGTCACTAATAGCAATAAAATATATTGTTAAATATGTATCTATAGAAAGCTTCATAATATCAATTTTTTATTTATTTATTTTTTATATATTAATCATATGTATTACTTTAAGGTTAAACTTGTGTTGACATATGTACTAAGTGTGATTGTATCAATTATTTAGGTACAGAGGAAGCAATTAAATTAAACTTAACAAAAATACTGTACTTGGTAAAATAAAGTAAAACAAAAGGATTAAAGTTGTATGCAACAAGATAATGTATGAAAAGTTAATTGGTGTGTTTGACAATAAGGGTGTTGCATGTTGACATTATCTTACAACACAATTTGTGGCCCTCATCACGTTACATCGATAGGTTTACACAATTTATTTAAAAAGCTATCAAATCATCGGCGTGATAAACTCCAAATTGGAAACTTGCGATACATAAAATTCTTCCAAATACTCATGAATGCTCACTACTCACTAGCTTAGGCCGATTATAATCTGCATGTGTTGTGTTATCATCTTCTTTTAGTCGCTTTTTGATCAAGGACTCTGCCCTACTTCTATACTTCGTATCATTTGTTAAACTTATTTTAATGGCTAATTTGCAGCTAATTTACCAAGTTAAGCTTGGTCTAATGGGAAAGATTGTACCTTCCAATCTTGAGGTTGGAGGTTCAATCCCTATTAGAGACACTTTGAGGATGGAGATCGCTTACCCTTCCCCCCTCACTCTCAAAGTATCCGATCTGCAAATAATTAATTTAGTATTTAGGGGTAATTTTAGGCTTCCCTAACCAAAAGTTATGTATTAAATTCATTATCAATGTTACTTTTTATTAGTGACTCAAAATGGACCAAAGATAACATACAAGCAGTTAACTAAAAAGAATTATTAAAATACTTGTTTATGTTATTGAACGACAAAATAAATCATTTTATCACCCTAAAACCGGCCAATTTTTTTTCCATGTTGATGCATGTTGGAACTTTGACATAATTATCTAGCAATTGGGTCAAACTCAATTTGTATGAAGAAACGAATCACCTTAATCTCAATTTGACATAAGGCCATACTAATCATGAAAGAACATGGGTTGCCACTAAATGCTACAGTTTTTACTTTGACAAATTATGTTACACCTTTGTCTTTATATAAGAGCAACATAATTCTAACCTTCTTCATAAACCAAAACCAAAACCAAAAGAAAAAAAAACTAAAAATGTCTACTGTTTGGGTCCAATTTAGTCCAATTGGGCCTAGGCACTAAATGATCCAATTAAAAGCCCAAGGTCAAGGTTCAACTCTCCAATTGTGCTAAAGTCAAAGGTCAGCCCCCAAAGCAAGCCAATTGGGCTAAGGCCCAACCTCTCCATGTATGAAGAGGTATAAAAGCCATCAGTATTCATACATTCAATTATTCACAGATTCATACATTCTCATACATTCTCATATATTCTCATATATTCAAGCAAAGCCTCAAGCAATTAATTCTCTTGCATAGTGTTCTCTTTCTACACATTGTACTGATTTTAGCATCGGAGGGGCCTTCCTCGGCAACACCCCCGAGGCTAGTTTACGTGTGTTTACTGTGCAGGAAACCTTCGGCCCAACATAACTTGGACCGAATCCAGTCTTCTCCGTTTCAGCGGACCTTCGGCAAGGTCCCATTGTTTTCACCCGAAACAATTTGGCGCCGTCTGTGGGGAAGACTTTCAAAAATCTTTAAGCCAAATTTCTAACCAAGATCATCTTGCAATTATCTTAGTAGAAATGGCTAAGAACCGCAAGAGCAAAAGCCTCCGTCAAGGAGCGGGCGAAAAGCCTAAAACCCCTACACCATCACCCTCGCCGGACCGGAACTCTCCCAAGGGTGCCAGCTCGGGGGGAGGATCATACAAGGAGGATTCCCTTTCTCCCGTAATTCATGACTCTCATTATAGGCCGAGTCACTCTCGGTCTAGCAGGGGTGAGTCCGATCATAGGACACATTCAGTTCCCCAAAGCCAACCATCGGCTGCGCGCCCTCATTCCCATACTCGGCCGAGGACCCCTTTGACGGGGCCCAGCTCGGAAGAGGTGGCAAGAGCGCTGGCAGTGCTCATGGAGGCGATGAGGGCACAAAATATGCCACCACCTCGTGATCGAACTCCTCCGCATACCCGGCATCAGCGGAGGAAGTTAGACCATGATGGTGGGAAGCTTCCTTCCTTCCGGGAACTGGAAGAGTGGGAAGAGGATTCCTGGAAAAATGAAAAAGAGAGGAAAAAGAACCCTCAATTTTTAAAAGGATCCTCATCCTCAAGACCAGAAGCGCATAAGAGCAGCAGCTCAGCTTCTCGGCCAGAATCTACTCACCGGGAACCTGAGACTGTTCGCCGAAGCGTTCTTGACCGACTCGGCGGCAAGGAACCGAGCGTGCGCAGTCGCCTCTCGTTCCCTGCAGCCGAGGCCCAGACTTCCCATCCAGGGACGAAAACCACTCCTACCTCTCTAAGAGGGGGGAGCGCGGTCCCTTCGGCCAGGAACAAGGGCAAGGCCGTTATGCTACCCGCCAGTTCACCATTCGAGCAATGGATACTGGAAGAGCGCGTACCCACGGTTAAAATACCGTCGCACATCACATATGACGGGACCTCGGATCCGAAGGATCACGTGGCCTCGTATGAGACTCATATGCATCTTTGCCCCAGATCCGAGGCGACTTGGTGCAAATATTTCCCAACCACTCTCAAGGGGGTCGCGCAAGCGTGGATCTCCAAGGGAGTAAGGCAAGGCTCCATAACAGGGTGGGATGACCTGTCCTCCAAGTTCAGGAGCAAGTTTTCCACGGCAAACCGCCGAGAGAAGACTACTGCAGAGCTCATGAGTCTACGACAGGGGGGAACTTCTGAAAAAGTCCTTCTCAGCCCCATTGCTGAAATGTGTAGGACCAACAGATGCAGATTATATCCTACGGGAGATTCACCTCGGCATTTGTGGGAACCACATTGGGGGAAGAACCTTAGCCCACAAGGCATTGAGGGCTGGATATTACTGGCCCACCATGATCGCAGATGCTAAGGAGCTGGTTCGGAAATGCGAAAAATGTCAAAAATACGCTCCAGTTATCCATCAGCCAGCAAGGGATCTTCAGCCGATCCTTAATCCACTCCCGTTTGCCCAATGGGGACTGGATATACTGGGACCATTTCCAGAGGCTGTGTACCAGAAAAAATGGCTGATAGTTGGTGTCGACTACTTCAGTAAATGGATCGAGGTCGAAGCAGCCTCGAACATTACAGAGCAAACTGTCAGAAAATTTATCTGGCAGAATATCATCACTCGATTTGGCATCCCGAGAGTATTTGTCTTCGATCATGGGAGGCAATTTGATAACTTACCGCTGAAGCGGTATACAGATCAGTTTGGCATCAAACTGGCATATTCAGCGGTATGCCACCCGCAAAGTAACGGACAAGCCGAAGCTGCAAATAAACAAATCTTAAATGCCCTCAAGAAGAGGGTGGAAGATCAAAAGTCCAAGTGGCCGGAGGAGCTCCTTGGAACCCTTTGGTCCCTTCGGACAACTGAAAAAGAGGCAACGGGCCACTCACCTTTTGAACTGGTGTATGGTGCCGAAGCCGTCCTTCCAGTGGAAATTGGCTCTGAGAGCCTTCGAGTGCACCACTTCTCGGCTGAGAATGAGCGACTGATGAGGGAATCTCTCGATTTCCTCGACGAAGTAAGAGACTCAGCCCGAGACAGAATGGCCGCCTATAAGCAGAGAATCAGCAAATTTTATAACCGAAGGGTCCATGCAAGGCCTCTCAAAATTGGAGACCTTGTCCTTCGGAATGCTGCTGCAGTTCAGAAAGGCCGAATCCATGGGAAACTCTCAGCTGCATGGGAAGGACCTTATGAAATCTATGATGAGCTTCAGCCAGGGACATACCGACTTCGGCAGTTGGATGGAACTGAGTTGAAAAATCACTGGAACGCTGATGTACTGAAAAAATATCATGTGTAAACCCTTCGGGGCAGAACAATCTTTGTAAGTACATTTTGAACTAATGAAAGGCCTTGGAGCCGCCATTTATATAAACGTTTACAACTTTTTATCCTTTCAAAATTTTCTTTGTTCTATCTACTCTTTAAGGGTTTTTTATTCAGCCTCGTCTGAAACCTTCGCCTTCGGGTAACTGGGTTTCAGATTGCTGACAAAACTCGTCTTTTTAAAGAACACTGGTCTTTCAGCTGAAGTCAAACTTCAGTAAGACTTGTTCTCCAAAGACATGAGTCCATGGACAATTCTGGGATATTTCCTTAACTGAGCCTTGTATCCCAGAGAGCCATTATCCGAAACATTGCCTTAAGTTGGCCCTGTGTTTCGGGTATCCATTTTTCAAAGATAGACAGAAAATCAAGGATAACAGCAACAGTTGAAAATTGTTTAATCAGCCTCGTCTGAAACCTTCGCCTTCGGGTAACTGGGTTTCAGATTGCTGACAAAACTCGTCTTTTTAAAGAACATTGGTCTTTCAGCTGAATTCCAACTTCAGTAAGACTTGTTCTCCAAAGACATGAGTCCATGGACAATTCTGGGATATTGCCTTAACTGAGCCTTGTATCCCAGAAAGCCATTATCCGAAACATTGCCTTCAGTTGGCCCTGTGTTTCGGATATGCATCTTTTTAAAGAACACAGGTCTTTCAGCTGAAGTCCAACTTCAGTAAGATTTGTTCTCCAAAGTCATGAGTCCATGGGCAATTCTGGGATATTGCCTTAACTGAGCCTTGTATCCCAGAAAGCTAATATCCGAAGCATTGCCTTCAGTTGGCCCTGTGTTTCAGATATCCAATTTTCAGCTGAAGTCAATCCTCAGTAAGACTTGTATTCCAGAAGCACTGCCTTCAGTTGGCCCTGTGTTTCGGATACCCATTTTAAAGAAGTGAAGAAATTGTTTATTCAGCTAAAGCCATACTTCAATTTCTGGGGGGGGGGGCAAGAAGCACTATCAGTGCAAGTTTATGTTCGGCAGGATGAAAGAAACAGTAAAGCATTCAAAAACAAAGCAGCTGAAGAAAAGAGCATCAAATTAATAATTTATGCTCAGAAATTGAGCTACAAGTTCAATTAAACTGTATCGGCAGCCGCCCACAAGCGGAAAATAACAGCTGCCGAAATACGTACATAAGCAAAAAAATAAACTGTTGTACGACAAGGCAAGCTGAAGCAAAAAACAAGGCAAAAAATTCAGAAAGCGGCAAGTCTAAAGTTAAGCGCATGATGAACCGCAAGATTCTGAAGACGACTGCCCGAGTTCCTATGCTTCAGCCCGAGGATCAGACTGATCAGCATTGTTGAGCCCCATGGTGGCCTCAACCCCAGCAGCAGAAGAAGCAGGCTTTGCACTCTGCCGAGCCTCCCTTTCCCTCTGTTCAGCCTCCAACTCCATTCTCTCAGCTTCCTCTTCGGCTTCCTCAGCCTTAAGAATTTCAGCTTCGACTGGAGTTGCATACTTCATATGAGGGTCTTCGGGATTCTGGACCCATTCAGCACATTTGGACCAGTCCAGCTTCGGCTCAGCATGAAGGCAGACTCTTCGGCACACTCTGAACCCGTTTCTGAAACCCATTTCATATTCTTCCTGGGTATAGACACGGACTTTGAGTAAAGCCTCAGCATCAGCTAGCTTCTTCTGGGTCTCCTCCAAGTCTTCCTTGGATTTCTTCAGCTCATCGGCGAGCTTGGAGGAGGAACCTTTCAGCTCATTCAGCTCCTGCTGAACTTGGGAAGCCTCTGTCTGAGCCTGGGCCATTTCTTCCTTTTTGGCCATCAGCAGATCCTCAGCCTCTTGGAACTTAGCTCTCTGAGCTTCAGCAGCAGCAGCAGCCTCTGAGAGTTGGACGTCCCTGGCCTGGAACAGCTCTTCAGCAGCCATTCTGCTGGCTTCAAGAGCTTCTAGCCGTTGCTGCACTTCAGCTTGTGCAGCAGCTCCTTCCTGAATACGGCTCTCAACGGCAGCCTTGAACTTGGAGACGTCCACTCCCATGTGCTCCTGGAGGAATTTTTCCCCTTCCATCAGTGGGGGAAAAACTTCCTTCTCCATAGCGTCGCAGAAGGTTTTGAGGGCTTCAGCAGCTTTTTTCTCGTACTCCTCACCCTTCTGCTGCTTCTCTTCAGCTGCTGCTTGCTTCAGCTTAGCAAGCTTTAATTCCTCCTCAGCTACCTTCTTGTCGTGCTCAGCAGCATCTACCTTATCTTGTAGGGTATATATCAGCTCTACAGTGAGAGTCTGATTGTGCACGAACTGAAAACAGGAAGACAAGTTAAAAAATAAAAAAAAAATAATAAAAATAGAGCTGAATTTTAGAGGAAATAAAGGCAAGGAAAATCACCTGCATCATCAGCAGTTGGTTAGACCTGGCTGGGTCAGGAACTGATCTGCTGGATTCGCCCATCCCAGCAGTGGCCTTCAGCGACCAGATTCTTGCCCTATCTACTTCGGACATGCCAGCAAAATCGCCGAAGTAGGCTGCAGCTCCTTCTCGGTTCTGACCCCATATGAGGTCCCAGATGTGATCTGGAATTGGAATTCGGGGGGCCGAGAAACCCATTTCTCCAGATTGCAGAGTCTGGAAGGAGGGAAAGGATGACGATGGAGCTTGTTTAGCTTTGGATGGCTCAGCATCATCCTTCTCAGAGGAGTCAATTACTATGACCTCCTCTTCTTCAGGGATGAGGACGAAAGCCTCAACCTCTCTTGCGATGTCTGCCGTGAAACCCTCAGCACTGGGCATCACGGCATCCTTATTTTTGTGCTCAGCAACACTTTCCTGAATTGCTTCTTGGACCCCTCCCTTAGATTCGGGAGTTCTCTGATCCACCTCCATCTCAGGAGGTGGCGGAGGGGTCTTTTGAGGTGATTGGGGTGGTGGCCGGGTAACCCTCGGCGATCCATTGCCTTCCTCGGGCTCCCTTATTTCAACGTCGATGGTCATCGGCCTCCGCTGAAAGTCATGAGGGCCGATGATGGCCATCCTTCGGCGCCTTTTCTGAAGAGGCTTCTCGTCCATGTCTGAGTCTGAAGACTCTTCTTGTATTTGGTCTTCGGGACGAACATGGGCTTTCCCTTCTCTGTGTCTGTTACTCTCTTCAGACTGTAACAGACAGGGGGGAGGAAGAATGTGAGTAAAAAAAAAAAAAAAAAAAAAAAGAAAGACAAAGTTAAGTCTGAAAGCTCACCGAGGTCTTCAGCAAAGCCTCGTCTTCTTCAGCTGCCCTAGCTGCAGCTTCTTCTTCAGCAGCTCTGGAAGACCCTTCTCCTCCTTCGCAATCTTCGAGAACCCGTGCAACCTCTTCGGCTGTACGGGCAGCTTCAGCTTCTTCGTCCAGCAGCTGAAACCAGGGGTCTCTCTTCTTCCACCAAGGCTTCTGCCTCTGATACAGAGCAACAGCCTCAATTTGGAAGTGGGAAGAGTCTAGATGAACTTCCCTATGCCTCGGTTCAGTGATAGACGGGGCCCGATCAGTTACAACTCGTTCTCGGTTGACACCAAGACGAGCGTAGTTAATGCCAACGTTGGTCTCGTCCCGCTCTGAAAAAGAAAAGGGGAAAGGTCAGTTCAGATTAGTTGGCACAGCATAAAAAAGCGAAGTGAGAGAAGAAAAAGAGATAATTAAAAAGCCTCGGCCCCAGCCGAAGAAGCTTACCATCCTTAAACTTTCGGCTGAGGCCAACAGCTGCTAGCATGTTCTCTTGGAAAACATAATGCGTATCGGGGAGCCAAGTCTCCGGGATATGCTGCATTCGGCCGCTGCCCCCCCGGTTCGGCAGCTTGCCGAAGATATGTTGTTGATCAAGGTTCGGATTCGGCCCGTTATCTGCGGGGGGACCTAGACTTCCCATCTCGGGATCAGGCTCAGCAAGGTACCGGGGAGCGCTGAAGACGCAAGGGTGGCCCGGATCTGTGGGTGCCCTAACCCAAATCCATTGACCTCTCCAGTCCTTGTCTGAAGAGTCGTTCGGCCACATGGTTAGGTACTGGGGCCGGGACTCAATCCGGTACCACCCAGAACCATGGCTTCCGTGCCCACTTTGAATATTTGGCACTAGCCGATGAAGCTTTTTGAAGCAGTGCAGGTTCGGCACATACTTGAAGAACTTGCAGACCCATAAGTATGTCATCACCCTTCAGATGCTGGTGGGCGTTAACTGGCATAGGGAGATATTGTAATGGATCAGCAAGTCTCGGACGAATACGTCCAAAGGGAACCTCAGCCCGTACTGAAGCTGTCTTGTGTACACCCCCATATACCCCGGGGGTGGACGATGGATTCTATCGGATGCCGCGGGCATTCGGCACCAATACCCATCAGCTTCAAAAATGCCGTAATGCAACTCAATTTGCTCGGCAAACCGATATTGTTCGGCATTCTCCACCCACCATGAGTAGGGGCGGTTCTTTATCATGGCCGAAGCTACTTCGGCATTCTCCCACTCTGAAAACCCGGGGAGGATATCCCAAAGGACAGCGGGAACTTCATCGTCCCGTCCAGAAGCGCTCGGCCCCTCCGTTCTCTGAGGAGGAGCCGAGGAAATTGGAGTCGCCCTAATCCCTTCAGCAGGGTCAGACTCTGGCCTTTGTCTATTCCAGGTCCTAATCCTGTTCCTAGGATCGGGAATTGGCCTTGCTCTTCTTGGAGCACGGGCTCTACCTCTAACTCCTCTTGCCATTGATTATTTCGAAGAAAAAAGTCGAAAAAAGGGGAAGGAGTTCGAATTCGAAGAAAAATAAACTGAAATCAAAGGAATTTACCTTAATCTGAAGCGAAAGTTGCCGATTTACGAGTTCGTAGTGGCAAGTCTCAGTTTCTAAGCTTAATGCTCGGGGAATTTGCGAAGTTTTGATGCGGGTTCTTGGTTTCTCTCGAGAATTCTGGGTTTGTGTTGGTGAATAAGTGAGGAGAGATGACGCGCCTCTGTTTATATCTCCAGGAATGGAATACGGAGAGTCCGCGTTTCAATTTCTCTTAAATACCCCACTAAGTAACCGTTAAACACACGATCTTGTGATTAAACTGCCCATTATCCGTCCAACTTCCACAATCATCCGCCTTAACCGTTGTTATCTCATTAATTACGGTTTAAATTCAAATTTTTGGATTAATTAAATCATTTACTTCCCTCCTTTTCTGAATTAAACCAAACCCGACCCGTCATCCTTCCAAATCGGGTCTGGGGGGCAAGTTGTTTGGGTCCAATTTAGTCCAATTGGGCCTAGGCACTAAATGATCCAATTAAAAGCCCAAGGTCAAGGTTCAACTCTCCAATTGTGCTAAAGTTAAAGGTCAGCCCTCAAAGCAAGCCAATTGTGCTAAGGCCCAACCTCTCCATGTATGAAGAGGTATAAAAGCCATCAGTATTCATACATTCAATTATTCACAGATTCATACATTCTCATACATTCTCATATATTCTCATATATTCAAGCAAAGCCTCAAGCAATTAATTCTCTTGCATAGTGTTCTCTTTCTACACATTGTACTGACTTTAGCATCGGAGGGGCCTTCCTCGGCAACACCCCCGAGGCTAGTTTACGTGTGTTTACTGTGCAGGAAACCTTCGGCCCAACATAACTTGGACCGAATCCAGTCTTCTCCGTTTCAGCGGACCTTCGGCAAGGTCCCATTGTGTTCACCCGAAACATCTACTAACATTTTATGTGTTTCTATCTTTGTTCTTTTACTATTCTCAATGTCATCTTATGCCTATGAAAGTAGAACATATAGTTATAGTCCACCTTATCATGGTTCTCCACACATATCTCCGGCCCAACCCACGAGCGACATTGATCTTTACATGAAGGTTCAAAATGATGCTCGAAATGTTGTTGGGGTGCCGCCTTTGTCATGGGACAATCGGTTGGCTGCCTATGCCCAATGGTGGGCTAACCAAAGGCCGTACGATTGTGCCCTACAACACTCTAGAGGTCCTTATGGGGAGAACATATTTTGGGGGAGTGGTGGTAGTGATTGGTCACCCGCCTTTGCAGCCCAATATTGGGTTGATGAGAAAAAGTGGTATGACTATAATTCCAATTCCTGTGCTTATGGCAAGGATTGTGGACATTATACCCAAATTGTTTGGAAGAGTTCTACTAGAGTTGGTTGCGCTAAAGTAGTCTGTTATAATGGTCGTGGTGTTTTTATTACATGCAATTATGATCCACCCGGGAACTATATTGGTTCAAGGCCCTACTAAGTACGTAGAGCCTAAATAGACCCAATTTCAATGACAAAGCCTAGTACGTTGTCCTGGTCCGAACTATTGTGTAATAACCTAGTATTACCAAAAACTTCTTAAGAACCACAAGATGTGCTTGGTGCTTAATTATAAACTTTGATTAATATTTTAATTTACTTTTGCATCAATTAAACTAGTTTTTATTGATATGGCAATGTTTGTAAGAGCACTATCAATGGTGAGCTAAAAAATTGCTCATGGGCATTTTGGGTGGGCATAAAATTTGCTCATGCATTACAATGGTGAGCAAATGAGAAAAAGCCAAAAAATGCTCATGAGCATTTCTGAAAATGCCCAAGAATTGAGCATTTTTTAACATGAATAGTGCTCTGATAGGCCCCACAATTTGCAATGGTTATATTTTTTGTAATGCAAATTCTGAAATAAATATTTATTAAAAAAAAATTAAAATTACCAACGGTTATAAAATTTTTTTCTATAAATAGACATGCATTTTGATATATTTTGGTATAATTTCAAAAATACCATAAATCCTCCATATTCTTTATTTTAACGATAAAAACGACACAAATAAAAAAATAAAAAATAATAAGTTACACAAATTTAGACTAGTTTTTATTTATTTGGAGTAATATTGTTAAAATATAAATGAAATTAATAAATAAAGAAGTGTTGTGTACTTGTGTAGGATAGAGAAAGTAATAGTGGGGTATTGAAAAAGTAAGAGAGAGAGTAGTGGACAAACATTTGTTTTTGCTCACCATTGGGAGAGAAATTGTGAAAAAAATTTACCCATGAGCAAAACAGATTTGTTGAGAGAGAAAGTGGGTAGAGAGATAGTGGGTGGGCATTTTTTTGCTCACCATTGAGAGTGGTCTAAGTTGAAATTGTTTCTTGTACTGATGGGGATATCTATTAGATCAACGAGTATGAACTCTTGGGAGATGTTTATTTGCCCTATGAAAGGGGTTACTCCTAGATGAAATTAAAAATCCATCAATGCTAATTACTTCGTATTATGTAACTTTATTTCTTTCAAATTCTTGATGATCAATTATTTTAGTTGGTCAAAGTCTTGAAGGATGATACTCAAAACCTGAGATCAAATCCCGTTTACATTATATGCCAAAAAAAAAAAAAAAAAAAACCCTCACATCCAAAAGGATGGATCAAATTAAGCTAAAAGACATGTTTGACAAAACTAGCCCTTGTATGTATTATATAGCTATAAATTGTAAGTTTATGAGTATAAAAATCGAAATCATAGTTACTGGTAAGTTTTATTTATTAATTCAAGTAATCTCCACTTATATGTTCCAATCAACTTCTTCATTCATAGATTAATTTGCTAGCAATGTAGCGTATAGATAAGGGTGTTCATTGATCACTATAAACACAATAAGCTAGCATACAACACATTTCAATCCAACACATATATTATGACTTTAATGAGTTTGACATGTAATAGTACAATATACGTAGTACATATAATTGCTATATATTCAAATATATATGCCCTTTGCTTATATATTTGACTATTTGGGTTTATAATTTCTTGAAACCCAAATAAAATCAAAGCTAAACCCGAGTTAATAAGGTCGTTCACCCACATAATTTCCAGGAGGATAATAATTACAAGTCATAAACACGTCCCCATTTTCACAAACGCTCCTAGCACATCCAACACTCCTTGTTTTACTCCAAACAATTTGTGTATAATGTCCACACATTTGGCCCTCAACACAAGTATTTGAACCATAATCATAATATTTCTCCTCATCAGCCCAATCTTGAACAGCATCCCTAGCCCTCCATTGTGATCCACTCCCCCAAAATATGTTCTCCCCTAAGGTAAACCCGCCCTCAGGGAACGAATGCTGTAACTTACAATCTTGGTACCTTTGCCCTGCCCACCACTTGGCGTACTTCTCAAGTTTAGTGTCCCAAACAAGGGGGAACTCAAACTTTTTGGCTCGTACGAGGTTTTGGTACGCTAGGAACTCTAGGGCTTCGCCGAGGCAGCCCCAACATAGTTGCTTGGAGAGGTTGTACACTTGTGGGAAGTTGTAGTTAGGGTTTAGTGGGGTGAGTTCTTGGGTGGAGAATGATGGTTTTGGGTAGGAAGTGAGGATTATTAGTAAGGTAAAGAAAGAAAGGAAGAAATAATAACAAGGTTTCATGGCTTATATTTTTTGGAAGTTATATGTGCCAAAAAATATGGTTAGAAATAGAATAATGTTGGAGTTGTATATATATTGGTCGAGTAGCTATATTATATGGTGTGAAAGTAATACTCCGTATTTGGTGTTTGATATGTGGAGTAGAAATATTATATGAAGTATAAGATAAATTGGATTTTATTCAATGCACGAGAATGTGGTCGTACGGTTGTCTTAGATGATAATGTATTATTGATAGTCACATGCTTAGAAATGTTAAGTCCCTTATATAAAGTACATATAATAAGGAATGATGTAGTTGGCGGTTTGCCAACTTTAATTTGGTCCAATTAAGAACTAGTGTCATGAAAATAGAGTCACGAAAGGTAATGAAATAGATGAAATTTGATTAGCAATCATTGGTTTTAACTCTTTTAAGTATATATTACTCCAGAATATTGATTAAGGATGTTATCTAAACTTATCTAATTAACGATTGCCCTTAATTTTATGTTATAGGTACAATTGTTTAGTCCTGATTAAAATTAATTAGACTTGAAATTTGTTAATCTTTTGTAAGCTGAACTAAGCACACCCTAAAATAAACTAATTAATAGACATTTAATTCATTATAAAACTTTGTAATATATATATATATATATATATATATATATATATATATATATATATATATATATATATATATATAGGGGAAGACTCTCGTGAGAAATTTTCTTATGTGAGAATTTTTCTTATGTGAGAACACTCTTTATGTTCTAAATTTTAAATCTGATGTTCTAAACTTCTCCACAGGTATTCTAAATTAAATCAAATGTTCTAATTTAGTACTCACATGTTCTAAACCATAAATTAGTTAAGTTCGATGTCATAAATTTTAAATAACTTGTTCCAAAATTTTAACTTGTATGTTCTAAATTTTAAAACGTGTGTTTTAAGATTTTTAATTATATGTTCCAGATTTTAAATTGTATATTCTATTTTTTTACTCGTATGTTCTAAATTATTTACTCACACTTTCTATATTCTATATCAGTTTGTTCTAAATTTTTATTCACATGTTCATAATCTTAAATCATATGTCTAAATTTTACTCATATGTTTAAAATTTCATAAAGCAAATTTTATAAATTTTTAATCACTTGTTCTAATTCTTAAATTAGATGTTCTAAACCTATTACTAACACAAATGTTCTAAATTATTACTCATATGTTCAAAATTTTAATTTGAGTCACATGTTCTAAATTTTAACTCGCATGTTCTAAATTTTAATTCACATGTTCTAAATTTTTACTCACATGTTCTAAATTATAAATCAGTTCTCACATAAGTATGAATTCTCACATATGGACCTATTCTCACCAGATTCCTCCTATATATATATATATATATATATATATAGTGGAGTATTTTTTTTAATGCATGTATAAAGATCTATAAATGATGATGATAGAGACGAGATTTCATAAAAATAAAAAAAGATAAAGACAATATTTTGATCAATTTAATTTCTGATTTAGTTATTAATCCGTAATATCTCATTTACACGACTTTATCAAGATAGTTGACAACCACAAAAACTGAAGTACATACGATTGGTGGTGGGACGGCCGTAGGTGCCAACATATTCTCTCGTGATTGCGAGTTTGTAAAACTATAAACCCGTGAAGCTCTACAATGTTTTTTTCTTAAGACATCATGGACCACCTACCATTAACAATAACAATCTGGAAGACTCTACTCATCACATGACTAATAGAATTCATTAAATTAGTATGGAAACACATAAACGCTAATTAGCTAATTATGTGGTTTTGTTTGATTTGTCGTTAATTCTTTTAATAATTATAGACGAGAATAATTAGTTGAAACATCAGTACATTTTTGTTCACAGGTTAATGGATCCTATATGCGTCAACTTCGAGCTCTACTTGTTTAAGATCTTTGCATTGGTCTAATCTTTCTTTCCCAAAAACTAAATATAAGGAAGCTTTAAAAACCATCAATACGAGAGTGAACAATACCTTAAATGGTTAGATCTTTTCTCTAGTTTTAGGAGATTTTGAGATCGATTCTCATCACTCGCCTTTGTGACTCTTTACCAATACGAGAAATGACAAGTCTATTAGGATGTCATCATCTCGAAAGATACACCTTAATTGTTCTTGTAGGGCATCGAGAGGATTCGCAGGCTATTATATTGTATATCTACACTTTTACTTGTCAAAAAGTGCTCCCAAAAATAAAGAGGGAATAGCCTCAACAATTCCAAGACAATACAAAATTAGGATGTCATCCTCTTGAGAGTTACACTTTAATTGCCCTTGTAGAGCATTGAGAAAATTTGCTGGCTATTATAGGTATCAATGTATATCTAATTATATATACTTTATAGGAAAAATTCATGGGAATAATCCCACCTTTTACCCGTTCGTTTTTAATAATCCCACCTTTCAATTATTTTTCAATAATCCCACCTTTAGGTAACTTTTATTTTTATTGGACCCATCTAACTTGAAACCGGCTAACAAGGTAAGCAATTGTGACGTGTACTTGGGTAGTCTGATTTCCCCCCTAAAACATGCCATGTCATTGACGGGCGTTAGAACGGTCGCACATTCCACACTCAATCAAATAAATTTATAAATCCTAAAACTAACCCCTAAACAAGTCTAGTGGTAAGTTCGGAGTCGAACCACAAGGAACGGTAATGTTGGATTGTTCTCGATCTAATGCTTAAGCTACGCCGAAGTCGGTTTATGGATAGTGGACACTACAACTACACTAAAACGCATATAAAGAACAAGGTATGATAAAGTCTACTAGGGGAAAAGATCCACTTAGAACAATTAATAGGCTAATGAGAATCCATTTGATAATCAATCATGCAAAGAAAGAAATATAATGAGAATTAACTACACTCAAAAGTAATCTCTCAAATTCCTAGCCTAGATCCCTCATTGACTAGGTGCATAGAAGAAAATTACCCAAAATGCAATCAAATATATCAATTTTAATTCACAATCCCTTGTCAAACTAAAACCAATATGCAATTAAGTGTGCTATCATGGGAGATCAATCCAATCTAAAACAAACAACATGCCAACATCAATTCAATCAATTTAATCACACAATTATCATCAAATTTATCTCAAATAACTCAAATAATCATTACAAAGTCTCACTCAACACCTAGTAGAAGGGAAACTACTCAAGCATAATGAAAGCAACTAAATAAAGCAATAAGAGAAGAGAAAGTAAGAAATGCTCATTGATATAAGGTGGAGATCTTCAAATTCCTCATTTGATTATCCAAAATCCATTAAAACCATTGTGCTCCTCACTTTCTCTCTCTAAAATTTTGAGAGTTTCTCTCTCTAAAACCTAAAAACTAACCTAAAAATCTATTCTAAACTGAAAAATCTTCTCTTTTTTAATGAGCAAAAAAAAAAATCTATTTATACCCCTTACAAAATTGCTTAGGAAGCTCCGCAAAAAGTCAGCTGAAACGGGAAAAGGTCCGACCGAACTCTGTGTAGGTTCGGTCGGACTCAGGGTAGGTTCGGCCGAACTCAGGGTAGGTTCGGTCGAACCTCCCTGATCCTTGTTTGGTCGAACTTTCCTGGTTCGACCCCTCCTGTAAACATGCTGAAAACTTGGTTGAAACTGCCTTGGAGGTTCGGTCGAACTTTTCAAAAGTTTGACCACACCTTGGTTCGACCGAACCTCTTAGAGGTTCGGCCACACCTCCTCTTGAACTTCCTCTTCTTGCTTCCTCTTCTTCCCTTTTGCTCCTCTTGTCTTTGTCCATGCCTCCATACTTGGCCAAGGGGCCTCCTACCGTGCTTAGGACCGTCGTGGAACCTGCAAAAGATAGCAAAGATCACGAGAGCATGGGGATGATAAAATTATGCATAAATATTATCAAAACAAGCGCAAATAAGCATACTTTTCATCCATAAAAGAAAAGGAATCCATAAGAGGAGAAAAGAGGTAGAAAACCTAAGAAAAACAGGAGAAAAGAGACCAATACACTACCCCTAAGGGTAACATAAATGTCACTCATCAAACACCCCCAAGCTTAACTTTTGCTCATCCTCGAGCAAAACAAAACAAACACAACGGAAAACGATGTATATTTTTTTTTTAAAAAAAACAATAAAATAAAATAAAACTAGAAGAGAAAGAATATACACTAACTCACTTTCGTAGGAATCACGAATGCATTTAGCGCATGCATCAAGCACTTTAAACCCCATAGCTCGCTCTAGTGGACGAGTAAGCTCTCGTAAGGGTGTCCTAAGAGTTTAACCCATAACTCTTGAAAAAAAATCAAGGCAAAGCAATAAATAAATAAAATAAAATAAATCGAAGTAAGAGAAAAGTTACAAGCGTTCTAGAGTGGACTTTTATGATGGAACAAACACTAATGAATGTCAATCTTTCTAAAATAATAAAGGTATGCACGTTCTAAGATGTCCAAGGTTGATTGAAACATAACATATGCTAAGCATAGAGAACTAAAGGAAACACATTCCACCTTTTGTTTCAACCAATCAAACCACGTTCTCTCTACTAGATTCAAATCCACTTTCAAGTTAGCTTCTCATGATTCCACGAAGAAACCGGAAAATAAATAAGAAATTAAAAACATTGAGAAGGTTACCCGACATCTTGGCTATGCAAACTCGCTCTATAGGCTTGATTCCTATTTCCCGCCATCATTGAATGACTTAACCCTCTAGGATCAAAAGGACTTTCAAGGTATTAACATATAAGCTAGGAGAGTAAAGGTGTGGAGAACTCTTGAAATTGGTGGTAAACCTATGTGAAGCACGGGTGGAACTTCTTCCACAAGATCCAAACGATTCCAAAACAAAAGTTCCAAGTATGCTTATTAAATAACTTTCCCCAAGCTTATTTAACACAAAATAACAAAAACAGGGAGAACAACAATAACAAAACCCTTTTTTTTGTGTGCTTTACATTCTTCTTTACCTTTTTTTTTTTTTTTAGATGTCCTTGCCTCTTTTAACTTTGGACGGCTTTTTCTAAAAAAGTATTTGGTTTTATGCAAAAA